AATTTATGAACTTCTAAATAAGATTCATAGTACAAACCAAGAAGGGATGACTATTTCTCAATATTTTTCAAAATCAAGTAAATTATGATAGGAGCTACATTTCTATCAAGACTTCATGCCAATTATCCTGGAGATGCAGTCAAATTTCAGAAATTGACAGAAAAAGAGCAGATTTATGATTTCTTGATTGGCCTGAATATCGAATATAATCGGATACGAGTCCAGGTACTTGGTAATGATCATTTTCTCTCATTACAACCGACTTATTCTTATGTCCAGTAAGAAAAACTAGGAGGAATGTCATGCTCTACATAGCTCTAGTTGAGACAGCTATATAGTTGTTCAACCTGACCAATCCAAAAATCTACAAAGTGACAGAAAAAGAGCGGATTTATGATTTCTTGATTGGCCTGAATACCGAATATAATCGGATACGAGTCCAGGTACTTGGTAATGATCATTTTCTCTCATTACAACAGACTTATTCTTATGTCCAGTAAGAAGAAACTAGGAGGAATGTCATGCTCCACATAGTTCTAGTTGAGAAAGCTATATAGTTGTTCAACCTGACCAATCCAAAAATCTACGAAAGTGTGACTATTGTGGCAAGCCAAAACACTTGAGGAAAATTTGCTAGAAGTTGCATGAAAAACCAATTAAAAGTCTTGATAGAATAAAAAATTGACCTATGAGAGCTCGAGAAAATTTGGTTGAGATAAGTGAAACACCTGACACATCAACAGTTGGAGTCTTTTCAATCAAAGAAATTCAAAACTTGAAACATATTTTATCTCAATTTAACTCTTCATCAGCTTTAAGTGTATCAAATCTTGTAAAATTAGGATTTTCAAATGAGAAAGAGGATTAACACTAGTAAACTGCAAGATAGCTCTTCAGAACTTAATCTGCAAGTTGGACATGTGTGATATCCCTACAACAACTTGAAGAGGGGTGTTGACTACCATATTTTATTATTTAATTATTTTAATTTATTATTTGTTATTATATAATTAGAACTTTATAAGAATAATAAACTCATATAATTAGAATTCTATTAAAATAAAAATTTCTCTAATTGTAGGTTAGAAGTTCTATAAATTAAGTGTAACAACATAAAAAGTGAGAAATTAAATTATTAATTTTTCTCCAAAAATCAACATTTTCTCATAAAGAGATCCATTAATAGGGATTGTAACAATTTAGTATAAGTGTCAGAAGTTATAAATGAATTGCAATTTATGTTCAAATCTTTTTTGAAGACTTATCAGGAAAATCTTGAACAGGATCGTCTCAAATTTGAAATTGTGTGATCCAAGATTGGATGATGGTCTTGTAATATGTCTCTTACACAATTAACCTTTGAATATAAATTATAATGACAATAGAGATATCCTAATCATGCAAGGTATTGATACAAGTCTTAATGAACTAATCAGTAACATGAATGATAGAGAATGTGTAGGGTAGAAACTAAGACCAGAAGAAAAAGAAAAAGAAGGATTTAGCCAGCGGAAGAAAAAGAAAATCTTTAGAGAACCTCGAAAGTAATGAAAATAGCACAGTAAGTGACTCAAGAAAAAGATGACATAAAATTCAATGTACTTTTACCTGCTGGGTAAGCATAACAACAGGATAACCACCCCTTTGCAGGCGTTCAAACATGCTACATTCATATAAAAATTTGCTTGCATGATTAGAGAGGACCGTGGCAGGAAGCTGCTTGGGATCTCCAACCTTGCAATATAGTTTCGACTTCAACATTCGTTCTCATGTTTACATAATATGCTCTAACAGAAAATAATCCTCACCATTATGCATTTTGTCCCTTTTGATTTTAACAGCTGAAGAGGGATTAAAGTCGCAGGTTCAAGGGCCTACCATTACACGGACAAAAAGAACTGTAAAAATGAACTAGTGAAAATAAGATAAGAAAACCTTGAAAATTAATCAGCAGGAGAGCAAACATTACTTGAGCTGCTTCATCAATTATAACAGCATCAAAAAGCGTATATTCAGATGGACAGCCAAATTTATAATTTGTTATGGAATCAGAACAAACTCCATAAAGGTCTCCACCACAGCCACTTAATGTAGTTACTACTATTTGTGCCTCCTTTAAAATGGATTTCCGCAATTTATGTTTTAATGCTCTTATTTCTTCATTAGCTTTTCTCTCCTGCACCTGAACAACACTAAGATCTTTATAAATTTGTTTCTTCTGTTCGTATAATTTTCTCAATTTCAATTCAAACTCTGCATCAGACATTTCCTTTACATCATCTTCTTTATGAGTTTCATCTTGCGAAGAATTTTATCTGAACTTCCGTCCTTTATGTTAGCACGCTTTGCTTCATATAACCTAATACGGTCAACCAGCTTTTCTAAATTAGAACGCAGTGACATAGACGACTCCAGTCCAACATTATTGTTAGCATCACTTATACGCATCTTCTCCTCTGCCAAACGCTGATCAACAAGTGTATCAATGAAGAAAGGCAGTGAAGTCGGATGCACTGTCTTCACATTTCCAACCCTCACAAGATATGGTTTGTACATCTTCCCATCTCTACCATAAAGACCTGCACTAGATATCCTTGACACCAACTCATCAACTGCAGCATTTGATTGAGCACAAATGAGGACTCTTCCTCTAGCAAACTTTTCTGTTGACTTTTTTGTTCTTTCTACATCATCATGCAATTGTCTAGCCAAAGCTGCATCCTGCCATGCTCTTGCAAGTGCTGCAGACTGACTTATCCTTGGCCTGGAATCAGCATAAGTACTATCAGTTTCCTTCAAATAATCACCTGAAGACTTTTCTGTATCAGATGCTTTCTGTGGAGAAGAAGCAAGTAGACCACTGACAATTGCCACTATAGTTCGAGTCTTCCCAGTCCCTGCTTAGCACCCGAATATAACAAAAATTTCAGTCCATGAGAAACTGAATCATGGCCAAATGACAAACATGGAAGGGAATTATTTATAAAAAAAAATAATAATAAAAAAAACCAAGACACACCTGGAGGACCCTGAATAAGAGACAATTCAAAATCCCTTTTTGAACTAGAAAATCCAATAGCAGCACTGATAGCTTGAAGTTGACTTTTATTGAAGGACAGCATCAGCATTTGCCGCAAAGGCAAAGGTAGCCTATTCAGATCTGGTTCCTTTGATTCACAACGATGAATAGAACCATTTGCAGGTTTTAGAATAATTGGAAGAATGGGGATATCCTTGATGGATGATAAAGCCTGAAATTCTCGAATTTGGGGAGTAATGCTCAAAACACGACTTCCATGCCACTTACTACGTTCAAGAAGATTCCTCCTAGCCTGGTTTAGACGTAAAGAACCATTCTGAAGATAAAACCTGACAAGTAAAATACTTGCCCTTCTCTTATCATCCCTCTCCCGCCTCTCCACCTGAAAAGTAGGTAGGTTTCTTTGAAATAAGTTAGAGAATCTAAAATAATTTAAAAATAATCCCAAATATAAGTATATCAATATGAAGCAGATATTTTGTTCCTGGAATGAGGGCCTTCCTATTTTCAGCAAGAAAACCCATTTGAATTCAAGTGAGAAATTTGATTTTGAGATCCGTGTTTGTATGATTCTAACTATACCCAAAGATATGAGATATAAAACCTTTATGAACCATAGGATCTGCAGAAAAATGCACGTACAAAATAACACTTAAAGGTTACACTTAAGGTATCAAAGTTTGCGGATTCAATTTATGTCATAGAAGGGGTAAATAATAAACTTCTTTGTCATTACTAAATAGAAGGTAACTTGAAATCTGAGCAAATTTGCAATATGTAATTACCAATCAAAGCATGCAACACTAATTACATGCACAAATAAACATCACAAACATCAAGCAGAATGTCCAGAAATTGACCATTGTAGTTAAGGACAGACATTAAAAAATAATTTGACCTTTGGCCACTAAACTAAATATATGAAACATGTAGAACAATAGAGTGTTTATGTTATGCTTCTCATTGAATATTAGGGTGTTATATATACAATTCCGTATGTATTACTGACAGATTAGGGTCTTATACAACTACTTATAAGAGAAGGATATATTACTAATATACCCTTACCTCACTTAATAGACACATCTACTTACTATACAAGTCTACTTAATATACACCTCTTAATACTCCTCAAGTTGATGAATAGATTTTATCTATTACAAACTTAGCAATAATTGTCTGAAATCATGATTTGCTCAATCCTTTAGTCAACAACATCCTCAAGTTGCAAATTGGTGGACATATATGGTGTACATATCAATCCACTATCCAGCTTTTCCTTGATGAAGCTGAAATCATGATTTGCTCAATCCTTTAGTCAACAACATCCTCAAGTTGCAAATTGGTGGACATATATGGTGTACATATCAATCCACTATCCAGCTTTTCCTTGATGAAGTGTCTGTCAAGTTCAATGTGCTTAGCTCTTTTATGTTGCACTAGATTGTAAGTAATACTAATTGCTGACTTATTGTCACAGTAGAATCTCATAGGCCCATCCATTCAATTTTCAAGTCTTCTAAGATCATCTTTAACTATAAAAACTCATATGCTTCTTGAGCGATTGCTCTGAATTCCGATTCTGGACTATATCGAGCTATTACATTCTGCTACTTAATTTCCTAGGTGATAAATTCCATTCAAAGAAGATATAATATGTAGTAGTGGACCTCATATGTACTAACGCTCTTGCATAATCTGCATTGGTGTATGCTTCAAGAAGGACACAGAAAATTTTTTGGTGGAGGGATGGTAAGATTTCTATCATTTTTGTGTGGGTGAGTGTCCTACAAATACATACTTGATGATTCTAGGGTCAAGTTTCTCTCTTTGAGACTCATGTATGCCAATATAGGCAACACACCTAAAAATTCAAGGAATAAAGTTGTTGGTGACTCGTACCTTAGAAAAGAAGTAGCTAGAACCTCCATACGGCTATAAAATTCTAGTACCCAGGACAGCAGCCAGTTTATGAGTAGTGGTAGTTAATAAAGCTTCTCTGTAGTGTTTGATACATAATTTTATCACAAAAGG